ACAAGCGGGATCATCATCTTATAGCTAAAGAGATCAATGAGAAAAGATCCAACTAAATTGGTAAAACATTTGGTACGTGAGAGAGGATGTACTGACTCGTCCGCCATGAATATGTACGGGAGTAGTGGAGGTGGTAACCTAAGAGGAATTTCAGCTATGACAGTCCAAAGAGGATTGAAAAAAAGACTTGAAAATGAACTCGTACGTGTTATTTCAGGACATAAGGTTAGAAAGTAATTCTGACTCTTTTCCTACATCTTCATATAAGGCATCGTCCTCACTTGCATCTAAAGCATTTGCTATTCCACATCTTTTTTATATGATTTAACTATCAAATTTCTTTCTATCTCAGCCTACGATTCTTTCACTCGCGAACGCAGTAGAAGCAAATCCGGAGCATTTATCTTCTTCCCCTTCATAAATGTTTTATCCTCTTCGAACATCGACTAACTCCATTGCCTTTTAATGTTGTCTTTAAACGGCTCATTGCTGGATACGTCGAGAGGCTGAACATTAAATTTACTATTCCCAGTAAGAAAAGTACTCTGTATAATAAAGAAACTTGCATGATACCCGAGATACATATTGTAATCATTTATTATAAGTGAAAATATGAGGGTCGCACGATACGCGAATAGCAAGTATATACAGTAATTTGCAAAGGGTTGATAAGGCACAGAAAAAGAAAAAAAAAAACAATCAATCAGCCAATTATAGATTCTTGACAAAATTCAAAGAAGCATCAGAAGCATCATATTAGCTTTCCTGTCCTGTCTCTTTTCCACCGCCGTAAAAATGTAGCCTTTTGTAAATGTAACCTCAACTTCTACGCCGACATTTTCTTTTCTGGCATTTCCCGCCTTTGGAACGCGCTCCAGTTTACTTGTTCCCCTGATAATTACAATCTTCAATAATTTAAATGCAATGTCAATCGCCTTCTTCTATCTTCTTGAACCACGTTCAGATTTTATTCATTATTTCTCTGTCCCCCTTATACCCTGTTTTTTTCCCCACCTTCACTGTTCCTAACCCACTGCCTGGCAGTGGCATATCCTGCTTTGCTTGGTGTGAAATGATTAAAATAAAAAAAAACTTTTTTATATCTTGCATATATATATATATATATAGTTTTACCTTTTCTAAAAAATTGTTTCACTTGAGTAAATAAAGGACCATTACATATGCATTTTAAATGATTTAATATACACTGAATTACTTTAACTGAAACGTTATTTTTTACTGTATTCTTGTTAATATATTTTGGTAAAGTCCAGAGATGGCTTACTTCATTCGTGCAGTCGCAGATGAATAACTTCTTTTAAAATGTAAGTGGCGGTGTTTGTTTTTTTTTGTTTTTTTTTGTGGGGGGGTGTTTTGTTTTATTGTTTGTTTGTTTTTTCTTCCACTCCGTTGAAACTGAATGACGCTGTACTGAATATGACGATAAACTACATTCACGTCCTAGGCAAAATGATAAAAAACACCCAACAGCAAGGCCTCTGATCATGAGGCTTTGAGGAGTATGGAAGCAACTCTTAGTTGTTGTTGTTCCTTGGCCCACCCTAACCCAGGGTAGTAGCGCCTGTTACGGTTCCAGCTATGAGCAAATTGTTAACCCCAAACTGGGGTCAAAACTCTTTGAAAGTGTAAAAATAAGTTATAATACCAGCAATAGGTTTTTGTAAAAATATTACCAGCAATAAACCTTTCAAGAAAAATCTTACATATTACATTAACAGAAATACATTTTTAAATTACCAATAATATATTTTTGAAATGATTATTACCAGCAATAAAAATCTTGTCAGCATTAAATAACCCATTGAGGTTGATATGCCGTAAAACAAAATAAACCAAATCAAAGATTACCTATTCTATTCATACGAACCTATCCTAAAAAATGTTGTCAGCATTAAATAATCCATTGAGGTTGATATGCCGTAAATCAAAATAAACCAAACCAAACCTGAATAATGTTCAATTATTGATGACTGTGATTTTTTAAACATTTCACCCTAAGCAAGGCAATAAAGCCACTAATACACAAGGGGTTACAGAATGTTAAATTCTACAAGGATAAAAACACTTATGGGTAGATAAGAATAAAATAATAATAATTCAGACGATAAAGATTGACATTTCATATATTGTAATCTGTTTTGTTCATTCATTTAACATGATGTAATGATTGCTGGGTGTTAGTGTTGCAGGAAAAACAATTTGTATATATTTATAGATAACAAATTAAAGTCAAATTCATACAGTTATTCGAAAACTTATATCTCTAACGATACACCAATTTTCGTCTCGCTAAGTCACACACATGCCACACTCTACTCGAAACAATTTTTAAAACAATCACATATATACCAGCATACTGGCCATTATTGATGCGACTCTCGCTTGCCACAGATATCTACAACTACGTCTGCGCTTTCTCCTTATATAGGCTATAAGAGTAGCTGGACAGGGCAGAGAGCAGGGAGAAATATAGCAAGACTACACACACACACACACACACACACACACATTCAAGCTCACCAGAGAGGCTACTTGAGAACACGGCTGACTACCCGTCCAAACATTAGGCTTTAAAAAAAAACGCCTGTTCACGCAGAAAGAGAAAAAGACTTCACTATCAACAGAGAAGCCCAAACCCTTAGCCAACAGGAGTCAGCCGGGTTTAACCATACTCATTGTTCATGCTCTCATTTTGCCCTGCTATACGACATAACAGAAACGTGTTCATATCTTGAAATATAAAATGAATCTTTGGTCATTTCTCCAAACCACTGTCTAATGTGTTTCTTTATCCAACCAGCAGGGGAGCTACGATGGATCAATGGATAGCGGCTCGGATTAAGAGCCTAGTTGTTATGGGACCTTACCCATAATAACATAATGGACTATTCCATACGTAATAAATACTGCGCCTGAAGTCTGGAGTGAGGTCCGTCAGAAGTCCGTCAGGAGTCTATCAGTCAGTCAGAGCGAGCGAGTCAGTCAGTCGAATCAGAGCCAGTCCGAATGTCGCGTTCAGACAATTAGTACAAGCCATTGGAATAGTGATACTGGTCGAGACTACATTGTTCTCCCTACTAAACCTGATTGTTCGTACTAACACTTTCTACTTCTCTGTATATATTCCTGTTTGTAAAATATCTGTGTTATTCAATTTCCGTGTTCGAGTTCTTCTTTATTGGTTCTACCTTGGACTATCACCGTAGTACAAGGAACCGGACCATGACACTAGTCGAATACATTACATTCACGTACGTACTAATCCCCTTGGGAAAGGTATGAATCCTCCTCTTCTCCCCTCAGCTATGGGTAAATAGCAGGCCAGACCGGGTTCTATAGTCTTGGACGGCAACTGGTCTACCGCAGAAAGAAATGCGGGGTAAAATCTGCCTCGTCGAAAGATACATGATCGCCTAAGCGTGTATCACGCATGGCACATAACTCACTGACTCCAACCAACTTCAAGTCGCGGCTCAAATGATGGCCACGCAAACGAGCACGACTCTTAAACGTCTCATTGACAGTTTCAGACGAAAGAAGATTAAACATCATCCATTTGCCTCCTTTTAAAAGGAGAAACTCACGGATCTGGCGCAACCACGTGTCAGCTACATTGCAGATCTAAAAGATAACTTCTCTACCTACTGTATGACACACATCTGTGAACCAAAGCAAATTTCTAATATCGATTATAATGACAGCGACGGTCATCAAGGCCGCAGAATCAATCACATGACTACTGCCTTTGGATTAAACCTTTATTTCTCTTAATGTTATATCTGACGTACCTATTCTATTATTAATAGACTCTCCCACACATAAGTAGTAGTAGTAGTAGTAGCGGGTGGCAGTTGGGCTCAGTGGTGTTGAGTGAGTCAGTCGATGTCGGACATTGAAGTATCAACCATCACAACTAGATTGCTGCGTCATTAACTAATTATTGCAAGTTCATAACGTTTTGTACGTCGAACCTAATTTAGGACGACTTATTGAAATACAAACCTCCACTGTGAAAACTACAACACATAGGCATATTTACGCTTGACTTCTATCTCCAAAGGGCAGATAACTCAAACATTTTTTCACTAAAATAACAATACGAATTTCGTTTAACAAGTTTGCCGCACGCAAAACACAAATTTTTTATGAGAATACCGCTCAGGATTCACAAATAAACCTACACAAACCACACGTAAAAAAAAAAAACCCTCAAACACCACAGAAGTCAACAATATACTTAAATTTAAACTTCACTGTTTCTCGTAGGCTCAACAGAAAAAAGATGTGAAATAATTCCAAGACGACCCACTGACCCTTTACACACTTCAAATATGTTAACATGAAAAAAAACAACAAAAAAACAAACAAACAAGAAATCTGCAAGTACAATTTAATAATATATGAATATAGCACTCGACACACGGTAGCAATATCACCAGTAATCAGCTCGGAAACTTGACAAATCAAAGCTTCTTAAAATTTTATGCACCAACATCATCCACGCACAGCTAAACAAACAATGCCTTCCAAATAAAGTCAATTCAATGTAGGTTATTGGAAAACAACAAAATTTTGATAATACTAACCGCTGAATTCTTTCTTTTACACTATCTACATATCATCCAAAAATATTTTCTCTGATAATCAAGTTTATGTAGCCAAAAAATACAATGTACACATAGAGATAACAAATTAAAGCCAAATTGATACAATTATTTAAAAAACATATCTAAAACTATACACCAATTTTCATCTAAGTCACACGGACGTTGCATACTACTCAAATTTTAAAACAAACACAAATATACCAGAGTGCTGGACATTATCGAAGCGACTCGTTTGCCACAGATGTCTACAACAATGTCCGTGTGTTTCCCCATATAGGCTTCAATAACTAAACAAAGAGAGAGGGGTCCAAAGAGGAGGAAGAGGAAGAGAGAGAGGGAGCAAAGAGCAGAGAAGAGAAAGACGGGGAGAGATCAGAGAAGAGGAAGACGGGAGAGACAGAGGAAGAGAGCAGAGGTGGAGAGAGAGAGGAGAAGACAAGAGAGAGCAGAGAGCATAGAGTAGGAAGAGGAAGAGAGGGGAGCATAAGAGGAAGAGAGAGATAGAGAAGAAGATAAAGAGAGAGAGGGAGCAAAGAGCAGAGAAGAGGAAGACGGAGAGAGAGCAGAGAGGAGGAAGAGGAAGAGAGAGAGGGAGCAGGGAGCAGAGAGGAGGCAGAGGGAGAGAGAGCAGAGAGGAGGAAGAGAGAGAGAGGGAGCAGAGGCAGAGAGGAGGCAGAGGGAGAGAGAGCAGAGAGGAGAGAGAGGGCGATATATCAGAGAGTAGGAAGAGGGAGAGCAGGGAGCCGAGAGGAGGGAGAGGGAGAGCAGGGAGCCGAGAGGAGGGAGAGGGAGACAGAGCAGAGAGGAGGGAGACGCTGGGAAAACGACCTCCAGTGAATACAGAAAGAGAAACGGACTCGACTATGCAAGTGACAAGGAACAAACCGATAGCAAACATCAGCCAGCCGAGTTAAAATTACACCTTTTTAACATTCACCTTCCACGTCTCGTACAATCCTCGCATCAGAAGTAATGGGAAGGTCGTTAGAGTGTGAACAAAAGAATAGTAATCAAGAAATGGCTATTTTTGTAGGGATTTTATAACATTTAATTTTCGAATAAATTATATTGGCTATACTCTGTATTGAACATTCTATTAAGAATAGTCTTTTTGGTTACTGGAATTTATTCCGTATACACCAATGAGTGCATATACATACATATATATATATATATAGATAGATAGATAGATAGATTGCGATGTATAAATTCTGGCCATTTATATTTGTAATTTCGCGCATGTGCGCTGTTTGTTTTTGATTTTGTCGACTGTAATTTATAGTAGGGTCTGTTGGGCAGAGTCTGTGAGAACAAGAGCAAAGTAATTCACTCAGCCAGAATTTTGGAAACGGTGTTTTGTACTGCTTCGCATTCTCGACGTAAGCTCGAACAAGAATTTTTCAGAATGTTTGGGCATGAATCTGACTTCAGTGCAAGATATTCCGAAAGAATTGGATGAGTCTAATGGAGATTATGACAGCGATTCGAGTGATCACTTGTAATCGCGACATTATGCATCCATTCATGTTTTCTCAAAGCCCCAAATTCAACACGGCAGTCTACATAAAGTGAATTGAGGAGGTATTGCTGCGCTGGGTCAAGAATGCGCCTGCTCGAAGAACCTAAGTGTGGCAACAAGACGCTGCACCATGTCACACAAGCCACACAAGCAGTAGAACCCAGTCACGGGTGTCAGACAAATTCTGCGACCATATAATCACTTACATCTGGCCACCTATCGCCCAGACTGCAACCAACTTGATTGTTATTTGTTGGGTACAGTTGAGCGAATGACGAACAAAACTTGTAACACCAAACATGAACTGAAGGCAAGGATTATAAAAATATTCACCTACTTAAACAAGAAGATCGTCCAGAAAAATTTCAGGAGATTCCAAAGTCGTCTAGAGGCTGTAGTTGAAGAAAATGGCGATTTTATTGAAAAAATATATATGGAGCAGGTATTTTTGCGTATTAAATATATATATATATATATATATATATATCTATATATATATATATATGTTAAGATGAAATATCAGTGTTAGTTTCATTTTGGTTAACTGAGACGACAATCTATCCATCACACACAGTTTATCCATCATATATATATGTGTGTGTCTGTGTGTGTGTGTGTTTGTGTGTCGGTGGGTGTGTATGTGTGTGTGTGTGTGTGAGAGAGAGAGAGAGATAGATAGAGAAAGATATATATGCAGATGGATAGTATTATAAGACTTAATATTATACATTACTTAAAATTACCCGCAGTTATCCTAACATAATTTGCAATTCTTCACACGAAAGCCGATAGAATTTATTGGGTCTATATTAAATGAAGTCATAAAATGAAATTGAAAATGGAATTAGACGCGCAATTTTTTAAATATGTTTACGGAAGATTTAGATTAAAGATCTGATTACTCTTCAACGGATTGTAATCATCGCAGCCTTTCTCATCAAATCGCAAAATCAAAGTTGACTTGAATATCCGCTCATCTAGTTTTTTTGTTTTTTTTGCATTAATGCATATGTTCCCCATATCTCTATCCTTAGACATACGTTCTTTCTAATTTTCATAAATTACCTTCCTAGTGTCATAAGATCGGTATCTATGCCGAGGACACTAGTATTTGGTAAATTTGGTCGGTTCGCTAAAGTCAAATTGGCAGCTGATCTAAATAATGATCTCTATTGTTGTTAAATGGGGCAATGTCTGGCTTGCTAATTTTAACGCCTTCAAAACGAAGTTAATCTCTTTTAATCGTCTGAGAGAGCATTCTATCCTTGATCAGCATAGCTGATGCTAACCTACACAATAGGTCTGGTCATTTTACAGTTAACCTGTTACGTCTTCAGTCAATGATATTCTCAGAGTCATCCAGTAAAACCATTTTTCTTTTGCTTCAGTTGTTTTCTTCACCTGTGATAAAATTGTCCAGAATTCCCTAGCATATAGGAGGACCGATATTGCATAATATTTCAGCACACGTTTCTCCGTTTCCAACGAAACCTTTCTGTTTCTTAATACTTTGCTTAGCTTTTTGAAAGACATGTAATCTTAAGTCCTATGCTAGCAGTTTCTTCTACCGCACTTCTCACTTGTGAAATTCTATCCATGCACTTTAGGGGCTTTATTTCCTTGCTTCGGGTGTAACGAAAAAAAAGTATATGCATATATTTTATCTACTCCGTTGAAAATGAATTAAGTTTTTTTTCTTTTTTTCTAAAAGTTGTTCACATGTTCAGTCCATGATATTCTCAGAATCATCTTAGATTAACGTTTTCAGCTGACATTAAGCGGGCATATTTAAATCAATTGCTAAGTCTACAGATAGGGATGTTGACTGTATAAGATAATTCTTTTCTCTCCAAATGCTATTTTATATATGCTTAAGTCTACCATTAATCCTTGCATTGAATATTGCTCTCAAATATGGTCTGGTGCTCCTGCTATGTGTTTAGAGTTTCTTGATATAATCAAAAGAAGAATCTGCGATGTTATAGGTCCTGACCTGGCATCCCAGCTTCAGTCATTTTCCAATCGCAGTATCTTGCGTGTGTTTTTTCTACAAATACTTTCATGCTAATTGTACTGATTAACTTTCCTCTATGGTACAGAGACTTTATGAATTTAAGATCCAGTACTAGATTGGCGGCTAGGTCTCATCATGTGACAGTTAAGCTTGCAATATGTAACCGTAAGTCCTACCATACTTCTTGCTTGTAGAACTCTCTTCCAGCTTTTTGCTTTCCCGTCAATTTTGATATTCAAAATTTTAAATTCAATTTCAATCATTATCTTCTGTTTTTGATTTTATTCCTGGCCCTTTTATTGTCGTCTCTCCTTAAGAGTATATTTCTTTATATTTGCTAACACCCAGTAATTCCTTGCATTTTAGGGGCTTTATTTCCTTGCTTCGGGTGAAATGAAAAAAGTGCATGCATATATTTTTATCTGCTCAGTTGAAAAGGAATGACGTTTAGTCACGCAAATACATTGGGATTCGTATCCTATATGTTTTTTTCTTTCCATTTTCTTCTGTTTTCTTAATTTTTGTCCTTTTATTGTTCTCTCTCATATATATATATATATATATATATATATATATATATATATATATATAATTTCTCTTGGTTCAACCTTAATTGATTTATGACCCTTCCCAGAACTCTTCACTGTCAATTCAAGAAAGACATTCAGGTTACTAACAGAAAACAGAGAATGTCTCACATCGAGAATATTTACCATTGAAAACATAAGGAAAAAAATTAATTATTTTTTAATAATATGTGGAAATCTCCCCCTTTCACCTGAAGACGGTCACGAGACCAGAAACACGTGTAGTAAAATTATGGAAAATAAAGCATAATATTTAAAACAAAAAATCCACATTACAACCAAAACTGTTTGCGGCACCTCTCTTCTCTTCTTTTCTATATATATACACATTTTTTCTCTCGTTGGAACTACTATAAACTCTTTCCTTCATTCATATATATATATATATATATATATATATATATATATATATAATAATGTTATCTACTACCCGTAACCCCTTGCATTTTAGGTGTTTTATTTCCTTACTTCGGGTGAAATGAAAAAAAAAAAAAAAAAAACTCAAGTGTATGAATATGATTTATCCACTCAGATGAACATGAATGTAGTTTAGTCACGCAAATACATTATTATTCGTATACTTATGTGTACCATACTCATCGGGACGTTATCAAACATGTCACTTCGTAACTTTCAGTTAATTTGGCCTTTTTCTTATCTTTTCAAAAGCCTGTCTTGCCATCCATTTACACAAACAAGTTGGGTCAGTTATGCACTGTTTTCCTCGTTTACCGTTGCCTTCAATATCATAACACGGGAATGTTAAAGTTTCCATGCCTTCTTTCCTCGTTATGTGTGCCAGAAATTTCAAATCTCTCTTTTTGATTCTTTGTATAAGTGAACATTTTTTTCCATTTTCTCGAAAACTTTGTCGTTGCCCACATATTCGCTCCATGGTATCCTCATCATCCTTCTGTAGAAATTTCAACTGACTCTTCGTGATATTAAGTATACATTTTTTTTTGTTTCCATTTTCTCTAAAAATACGTCTTCAGTTAATGATATTCTCAGAGTCATCCAGTAAAACCATTTTTCTTTTGCTTCAGTTGTTTTCTTCACCTGTGATAAAATTGTCCAGAATCCCCTAGCATATAGGAGGACCGATATTGCATAATATTTCAGCACACTTTTTTCCGTTTCCAACGAAACCTTTCTGTTTCTTAATACTTTGCTTAGCTTTTGAAAGACATTTTTTTCACTATCCCAAAACGCTTTCGGATTTCGAGGTTGCATTTTCTGTCTCCTGTTAAAAGAACTCCCAAATATCTAACGTGTTTTAGTAGCGTTAATTTGGTTCCTGCAGATTGTACTTTGCATGACGGGATGTTTCTTTTTGCTGGCAGCCATACATTCTGTTTTGCAATTGATGTTTAGTCATTTCTTCTCACTTTCGTTCACTATCTTCTGTGGGGTTTTTTTGTAGCTTCCTTTCTCTGTCTGCTATCGATATTGTGTCATTCGCATAGGTAATTTTTTTTTGTAAGATTGTAGCCGCCAACAATAAACCAGGGCAGGGCTTCTAATTCTCTCATAATTGCCTCACTGTATGATTGAAATAAGTCCAGTGATTTTTTCCAGGTAATTTCAAATGTTGCCGCAAGCTTGGATCGCCTACACAGACCGATAAAACCAAGGAGTCACCTTCCTTTCAAATCGCATATCGTGGGATTCAAACTAGGAATTGATGATCGGAAA